ATGAGGATATTAGAAGGGACCAGCAGGTTTTCCAGCAGCTCTGCTCTGCTCAGGGTTATTGCATTGATGTGTCCAGGCAGAGTCAGGCTCTTCCCTTGGGAATCCTGTGCTGGGCAGGATCTGCTGCAGGGGAGCAAAGAATTAAGTGATAGTCAGTGTTCATACCTGAGAACTAGTCTGATGCAAAGGCTTAAGGAAAGTTTTGGTTCCAGGCCTGGCCTAGGTGCTTAAAATAATAATGATAAATTCTGTGCATATATTGTTTTGTGTAACTGGTGGAAGCTTTGTCCTGCTGGCAGGTGGCTGGATTCCTCCCTTTGGAGAGGAAGTTGTGGTGACACACACTGCACTTCCACATTTGTGTGAGCAGAGCCTCCTTGTGTGTGTTAAGGTTGGGCTGTGTGAATTCTTGAGGACAGTTTCCTATAGGCCTTCTGGGGAAGTTGCCTGAGTCTGTCCAAAACACACCTGTGCAGGAGGACCTGAATGCTTGGGACTTGCTTGAGCTGCCAGGAAAGCTGCCTCCCAGTTATCAGACTGGTCTGGGGGTGCTGAGGGGCCCAGGAAGGGCTTGGATGCTCTCTGCAGTGGGTGGGGACCTTACAGACTCCTTTTGCTTCCAGGTGGCAGAGGCTATGAAGCAGATGCAAGAAAAGAAGAATGTTGGAAAAGTCATCCTGGTTCCTGAAGCACCCAAGGAAGAACCTAAAAAAGCAGAGAACTAAGGAGAAGAGATGTATGCAGATTATGAATTCATGGTTTAACTCCCTGATCTCTCTGGGACCTGGAAATGGACAGATCAGTATCTTCCATCTTTCACCAGTACAAGAACATCATGGTTATCATTCAGACGAGGTTTGCATGCTCTTGTTGTGACTGACCCTTTGCCAGATATGCCTCCTGCTCTCTCTTTTGCAGCCTGTTTATTTCATACTGTTTTCTAACCACTTGTTACTCCACTGAATTTCCAGATTAATCTTTTTCTCTGGCAGTGAGGCTGAAGCTTCCAAGCAGTTGGTGACTAACAACTGCACAGCCTGTCACTGTAAAGTCACAGCACAATGTACTGTAACAACTGCCAAGTGTCTCTGCAGAAACTGAGCCCTGCTGAATTGTTTGCACTGTCAGCTTTGGGAAGCCTGTTCAGCAGAGGATTGGCCAAATGTAGGATGTTTCCTCCACAGCCAAAGGAAAACCACAGCTGGTCTAGTTTAATTGGAGCAGAGGTTGTCCTTCTGTTCACACTAACCCAGCTCTATTCCTTCTGCTTTTTGTATGCCACTAACACAGCCAGATAGTAACAGCTCATGTTGTTTTTGCCTTGACCATCCTGGCAATTTGGAGTGTATGGCAGATCATACTTCATTTGCAGTCACTTCTCTGTGCAGTCTGTAAAATCCCCAAACAGGCTGGGCTGAGCTATGTCTGACTACAGAAGAAAAGTTTCAATTAGATAACCTGATGCTGTCCATTTTCTATTTCCAAATTGTATAGAGAGATCTGAGCAGTGTCTGATTCTTAGAGACCGTAAGGACTCAACTGTGTCTCAAACGACTGGAACAATTGATGTTGGCTCTGTGCTTTATTATGTTGGGCTCCAAGTTGGTATTTTTAGGGCTTCACCCTTCTCTTTGTATTTCCAAGGGCTACAGTATTGAATTGGACTTCACTGAGATGGAAACAGAATAATCCCCTATTAATGCTTTGTGCAGTGCCCTGTGCACTGAGGAGGTGTTGCAGTTTGGGAAGGAACTTTCAAGAGCCACTCCTGTGGGCTGGCTGCCCAGTAGCGTGGGCTGGCTCTGGCTGTGGCACACTGGTTAGTAAAGCTGTTGCCAGGGTAGCAGTTAGATGGTAAACAGCCCAGCTGTGTGTCAGGCCTCTTGACCTGCACAATTCTGAGCAGTTTCCCATTGTGTCCTGGCTCATTTGCTGCAGCAGGGCTTGACTCTTCTTCCCCTGAATCTGTGTCTTGGGGCTCAAGCGCTGAGGGTTTGGGAGCTGCCTGGGATGCTGCTCTCTATACCAGAACTGTTTCCTCTTCTTTTCTTTCCTTGTGTGCATTTGGAAACAGAGCTGTGTAGAGACCCAAGCCCAGCTCTGTGAGCACCTTGAGCCCTAGATGATGCTGTCCTTCCCACTGGATCCTGCCTGCAGCACTGAGCAACTCTGGTGCTGTCAGTGCTTACCTGGCATGGATTGTAGGTGTGGTGGGCTTTTGGGCTTCATTTTGGATTTGAAATGGTAAACCCAAGGGCACTAAGAAGAGCTGCCCATCATGGAAGAACTTGTGCTTCAGAAGCAAAACCTTGAGACTAGAATCCTGCTTAACTAGCCCAAAGGGAGGGCCCAGGGCCCAAGGAGGGCAGGTACCCACTGGGCACAGGGCCGGGCATGCAGCCCCATCACCACCCAAGAGAGCCCAGGGCTGGAGTTTCTCTCTGGCTTCTCCCTCAGCCTCCTCTAGTGGGACTCCTGCCTGCCACTGCAGCTTGTGGTTCAGGTGCCTGGGCTCAGAGTTCTTTAACAATGCACTGGCACAGCTTCCAGAGGTCATGCCCCAGCTAACTTTAAATATTGCAACAATCCTGTTCCCTACAACCTCAGAGAAGTGCTGGAGTCCTCTCACAGATCCTTGTCAGTTCATCTCTTGAACTTCATAAACACAGGCTGATGGAACTCTCAAGCACAACTTTTTACCTTTCTGAATCCAAAATCTTGCTGCTTCTTTCAACCTGCCCTGTTGTGCTAATTTAGATTGAATCCAACAGTGTCTAATGCTGCTTTACCAGGTGTGAAAACAGACTGTCTAAATTGCTGAAATGGAAAATCTGGACCTGTTCCTCTGAGAAACTGGACTTCACCTTGATGCCAGGGCAGCATGCTCAAAAGGCACACACAACCCTGCACATCTGGCTCTGCAAGATTGTAAAAGGGAAGCTGTTATGGTGTGTTTCATAGTAACATCCTCTCTCTCCCTGCTTTATCCTGAGCCAATCTCGTGCTCAGTGCCTTACGTGGATGGCCTTGGGTCAGGCAGTGTGGCAGGGCTCTCACAGCTCCCCATCAGACCCCTCTGCCCTGCTGCCTCCTGTGTGCCACAGCAAACAGCATCTTGGTGCCTTCTGCTACATGACTAGGAAGTCACTGGGGCCTTTTCCATTCTGGCTTTTCAAAGTATTGCCAAAACACGGTTTTGACTCTTATTAACTCTGTTTTGTGAACTCTGGTGATGTTGTTGGACTTTCCATGAATTAGCTGTTCTCTCCCCAGGTGTTCCAGCCTTTCTGGGGCTGACCTGGTGCTTCTGTACCCCCCAGTCCCTGCTGTAAAGCCCTTGTCTTTCCCAGGGCAGCTCCAGAGTAAGACTTTATCAGCTGCTCCAGCCTTGGCTCTTTAGAAACAATCCTAGCTCCTGGCTCTTTTTGTCTTCTCACATGTCTTCTACGTAGAAATTCCTGAAGCTCTTATCAAGGCAGGAACACCAAGCAGTTACTGCCTGTTCGAGGTCAGCACTGACTATTTTGTGTCTCTTGGTAGCAACAGTGTTTTCTACAGGAAGAGCAAGATTAAATGTAACCTTGCAATCCTCTGCCGCTGCTCAAAGTTCCGCTCTAGGTGGGTGTGGTTGGTTGTGTTTTGGTTTTTTACTGTTCTTTTTTATGGGCCAGTAAGTATAGAACCTATGTACAACAACTTCAAGTGTCTTAATCCAGTTAACCAGCCGGTTTGTATACTAAGGACCAAAGCATAAAAACCAAAACAAAACCCTAAGATAAAAATCATTCCATTCAATGTTGCTTGTTTAGGGCAAAGTTGTGCTACTGAGGAACTGGGAGATTCCTGTACTTAATCATGTGTGCCATTCCAGAAGTGCAATTTAATGTTTATTTTACTGATTGTCTTGACTGAAAGGTTGTGCCATGAGGAGTCCAAGTGGAAGTGTAAGGAGATGATGAGTGGAGGAGGCACCCACAGCCCTGCCCGCTGCAGGGGGCTCGGTGCCAGTGCCTCTCCTGTCATTGCTGTAGTGGCCTCCCAGCCTGGTGCTGCTGCTTCTGGACAAAGTGTAACTCCTTCGCTGTCACCAGGCAGCAGTTGCCACATTTTTTGACTCTGAAGCTCACTTGTGTTGCAAGCTGACTGCAGAAGGGGAAGGGAGCAGAGGTGGCCTCTGCTTGCACAGAAGAGTGTGGCCCCTGCCAAGTGTTTTGGGAAGGAGTTCAGCTCTATATTTTGTTTCAGACACCTGTATTAAACTAGAATTAATTGGCCAGGGAGAAGTAAGAAGCACTGTGTGTGTGATGCTTCAGCTGGTGCAGGATTCTGGCCTGCTGACAGCTGCTATCATAGGTGTTAAACCACTCGGGTTGCCTGAAGTCTCTGGTGTGCTGAGCCCTTGTGATGGCAAAGTGTTATTGGCAAGTAGTACATGAGCATGATGTGAAACGTGTTAGACTCTGAGTGAGCCTCTTACAGCATATGGTCTGGTCTGTACTGTCTGAAGTGTGTTGATTTGCAGATTTGTGATATGAGTGATGCTCATCCTACAGACACATAGCAAATCTTTTGTTTAAAAAATATATTTCGCTTTGTGCGTGTAACCAAGTTGGACAGAAGACAACTGTGCCACTGCTGTTTACATGACTACAATGTGTACTGCTCCTCTGTCAAATGTTACCATATGCCTTATGTGTTTCAAATGTTAATTAAAAGCATAACAAAACCTTCCACACTATGCTGCTCAGGTTTCTGTTGTCGTGAACCCTCTGCCCACAGCAGATTCAGTTGACAAAGCGTAATGCCCCCAGCAGGAGGAGATGCCTCTGCTCTCAGTGACAACTGTTAATTACTAGCTTGAGTGTTGTTCCCGACACTCGTCCTGGAGGGCAGCCATGACGATTTTTGTTTGTGAAGCCTTTAGCTGGGCTCTGCACTTCCTATTTGGGTGTGTCAGTAGCCAGGTGGGGACTGAAGGCATGAACAGCCACTGTCAAACGTAAGAATAAATCCTGTTTATTGTCAGCATAGAGACTGTCCCTGGGAGCCAACTGCTGTGGGTGCTGAAAGCTGTTAATGTTCTTCTCAAGAGAGCACCAGGTCACCTGCTGGCCTCAGAGCAGGTGCTGGAGCATGGGGCTGTCTGCTGGGGCCTGAGCTGTCAGTGTGAAGAGCTGACAGTAAAGACAGTTCATCTCTGACCCCAGCCCTGGCAGCAGCTGAGCTGGAACCTCTCTGTAGTGGCAGGAGGTGGAAGTGACTTCCAGAAGCTGGGGCTGGACTAGGTGTAGACTCCTGCCCAGGTTTGTGTCTGCTACTGAAAGCCAAAGGGGGCTCAGTTCTGTGATTTCAGGACATGCATCCAAGAGGAGCTGGAGTTTCTGGGAAGCACGGATCCATGCTGAAGCCTGCATGGGGCAGGGACGGAGGTGCTGCTCTTTGCCAATGTGCAGAGTTCTGGAAACATGTGGGGAAAGCAGGAGCTCCTTTGACAAACACCTGCTTTTTCCTGAGCTGTCTCTGTTAATCTGCAGTTTTCTCAGCAGGAGAAGAAGGCAAAGGGGAAGGCACAGGCTGTGGCTGTGAGAGAATCACACAAGGCCCAGTTTATTGAGAACTGTGCCAACCTCACAGAGGTACTGGCCATCCGGGTAGCCATTCCTGTGGGGCAGAGAGGAAGCACTGTAAATCCTGCTGATGTGGGAAGCAGCCTTTTCTTTTTGTCCCACCCTGTCAGCAGGGGCTGAGAGGGGAAGTCCTGTTTCTGGGGTGTCCTGCTGCCTGCAGGCACGGCTCATACCCAGCCAGCACTGGCATGGGAAAGGCTGTAAGTGAACAGGGGCCACAGTTCTTGTCCATGGGGAATTACAGGTTTCCACACCACTTATGGATGTGGGATGGGCAGGGGCTTTTGCTCCAGCTGGAGAGTGCCAGGGCTGGTCTGCCATGCCATAGCTGCCCTGCAAGCTGAAGCAAAGGGAAGCACCAACTCTGCCACTGTGGGAGAGTGGAAGACCCATCCCTGCCAGGATTTGTAGAGCCGGAACCTATGGTTCTCCTCCTCCCATTGCTAAAAAACCCATAACCATACCAAGAAGCTTAGAATGAGCTGGGCCATACCTGGCTTTGCCTCCATCACAGGAGGTTTTGTGGGGGATAGGGCCCCATGTTACTCTTTCCTCTCCATTGCAGGACTTGATCTGGAATGTCAGCCCACATTCAAATGCTTTCTTCAGCAGCTTTGCTGTCTTCAGCCCTTCCTTGTTATGAGGCAGGAAGGCACAAAAATTCCCCCCTTTGTAAGGGTGTCCTGGGCGAGGGTGCCCAACCTTAGAACAGGAATAAGACATTTTAAACAATGGCTGGAGTGCTTTGTCTCAGAGGGGATTTCTAAGGTTTGTCTAGCTTGAAAACTACACTGATGACCATGATCCCCATGGGCTGATAGTCACTGTCAACTAAAACCAGGTCACACATGCTCTTGAGAAGCAGGAAGCTGCTCCAAATCCTGCTGTGGAGCTTTTTGCCTTTCATAGGTTAATATCTCTGCTGCTTTGCCTGTGGGGCAGGGAGCTGTGGCTGCTCTTTTCCCCGCAACCATCCTGACAGATATCTCCCCGTGTGGGCTGCAGTGGGATGGGGAAGCTCTGTGGTGGTACCTACCTCCTGCACGCCATCAGGGATGCTGTAAGCAAGCTGAAGTGTTGGGTCCTGAGAGTATCCAGGCAGGCTCTGAGACAGGGAGGAGATCTTCAGTGTCCCCAGGATTTTGCAGCTTGCAGCAGCTGAGGAGGATCCACAGCAAGCTGGCTGCATACTGTCTGCTGCAAAACATGTCCTGCACAAGGTGTGACCACAGGAGCCCTGGCAGGTCACACCTGAGTCCTTGCAAGAATCACACTGGTCCAAAGGGATCATGCTGCTTTCCTGTCCAAGGCTTGGGTCTCCTCTCTGCTGTGATGGGAGGTCAGGCTCCTCCTGCTCATTGCTCCTGCCCCCTGGGAGCTGGGCCCTTCCCTGATCTGTAGGCTCTGCTGCAGGTGCCTGGTGGGCCACAGCTGGGGGTGGCTCAGCAGCCACGGCCCTGGATAGCCAGGTGGGCAGAGAGTGAGGAGCTTCATCAGCTGCAGGGACTGGACAGTGCTGCTGTCCCATTGCTTCATTGTGGCCTCCTCTGCTCTTGTCTCTTGCAAACTGGAATCTGTCTGGCAAGAGTTGTTTTAGCCGGGTGCTGTCAGGCTCCCCCAGAGACAGTTTTGTCTTCCGCTGTTCCTGGAACTCCCTCAGGCCAGGAGAACTTGGCTTATCCCATGCACCAAGGCTCAGAAGGCTGCTTCCTCCTCTCCCAGACCCAGAATCAATATAGCCCCTGGCCTCCTCCTGCCCCCAAGCCTGCTGGAACCTCCAAGGTTTGGGGGACCTCTTTTCCTCTGCCTCTGGCAACCAGGAAACCCGGAGCACACATTTAGAGTCTACTTTATCAATGTTCAGGTGCTGTAGGGAATTCAGGCTGCCAGGAAGGGCTGCCTCCAGCAATGGGTCTTGGCTTCTGATTGGCTGGATGACACTTGATTTCCCTGTACTCTCTGGTTCAGGAAACATGGCTAAAGATTTCATGGCACAGAGCCTCCTAGAAGAAAACATGTGGAAAGCCTCAGCCACTCCTGGAAGCATCTCCTTGGGGCAGGCAAGATAGAGCTTGTACTTGTCTTTGCTGAGTCCAACCTGGAAGGATTTTCCTCGCAAAAGGCTGCACAGTTCACTCAGGTCACTGTCATCTGGACCACTGACAGCAAGCTCTGAGTAGCTCACACTCTGACACACCAAGTCAGGGCACTTCTGCACAAGATCTTCCATCTTCCATTTAGCCTGGAGCAGCCTTCTCCTGTCTTCTGCCTGCAGCGTCAGCACTGTGCAGTCCCCAGCATGGCGCTCCAAGATGTGCACTCCTCCAGCCCTGCACAGCTCATCAATAGTGGCATGGCAGACATCTTTCAGGTAAAACCACTGCAGAGTGTCCAGGCTCATCTCCTCACTCACCCTGCTGCTGATGTCTCCAGAGTTGTTGCTTTCCTTTGACCTTGGTAGGGTGAAGCTGTTGGACCGTCGCAGCACAGACCTGGATGCAGAGGGTTTGCAGCCTAAAACAAAAGAGGTCCATGTCACATCACAGTTGCTGTTGATGCCAGCGAAGGAGTCGTACCCAATGGGACCTGAGCCTTCAGAGTACTCAGGATGCTGAAAAGTGCTGTTTGCTTTGCTTTCAACAGGCAACTGCACCTTTTCTCTTGTGAGTCCGGCACCTCCTTCCACATGGCCCCTTTCTCTGTGGTCATTCTGCTGAGGCTCTGCTGCTGACCCCAGAACTTTATCTGTCACAGGGGTGGGAGGCCGATACTGCTGGGTCCGTGCCCTTGGGTCACTCTGACCAAGAGCATCTATCTCTGATGAATGCTTCCCAGAAAGCTGCACCTGTCCCACTGGTGGAGAGTCCTGATTCATCAGGAGGCCCTGGCCAGCCTGAGACCTGTCATCTTTCAGGGTGCTGAAGTTGGCAGCTAGCTTGAACTCACCTTTCTGCTCTGGTCTGCTTGAGCTAAGCCTTGTGGATGAAGTATGCACAGGAGCTTTGGCCAGGTGTAGTGCATGCTCTGTGGTGCCAGAGGGCTGGGAGCTGCTCAGCATGTCAACCGTGTGTGCAGCACCTCTCCTGGTGACAGAATCCTCAAGGAACTGCTTGGCCTTGGACACATCAACACGATTTCCAACAAGATAAAGCTGCTTCACATCCTCGTCACAGAGCAGCTGGGGATACAGCTTCTGCAGCTCACACGTCAGAGCCCTGAGTGCCTGGCTGTCCATTCCCAGCCCTTCCTTAGCAATCTTCTCCTTGCACAGGCTCGCCTCCAGCTGCTGGTAGAGCTGCTGCAGGGCCAGGCGGGCCTGTCGCAGTGCATCCATGTCCCCAGGCACGCCTCCGGATGGGTGGAGGTACAACACAGCAATGCCATCGCCACTGACATGCACCACATCCACGTGATGTTGGTGCAGCACACCCTGGTACTCAGCAGCACAGAACCTCTGCATGTACAAGTAAATGTCCGAGTCCACTGCTAGGGAACAGTCCTCCAGCTTCCCCAAAGCTTCCACAGCTTTCCCACTCACTGGGCTCTGAGATGATGGGGCTTTAGCTGCCATTTCATGCACCTGGTCGCAGTCTGGCAGCTTTGCTGCCTCTTGTACTGACTCAGTGGAGTCAGGCACTTGCTGCTGATCATGCACTCCCACCTTTTTGGCCTCACAGCTGGAAGCTGGCAGGAGGATCTGGCCAGTGGCATCTCTCTTGAGGTTCAGGCTGCCCAGCAGGTCTCTGCTGAAGGTCTGCAGCTCAGTGAATGGTCCCTGGACTATGCACTGCATATTCTGTGAGTCGAAGCTGAAGTGTATATTGCTGTAGCCTTTGTGCAAGTCCTTCAGGAGGGTTTTGCCAGTGGGTAGTTTGCCATAGTCAATTGTCATGTTCACATGTGTGAAGATCTGCAAGTAGATAGCAAGGGAGTGAGAGAGCAAGGACCAAAATCAACTCCTTTTAAAGGCACAGAAGGCAAGTAGCCCCTGCATCACTGTGACAGAAGAGATGACACATTCTTCCACCCCTCTCCCTCAGCACCCTGCTTTCAAGAGAGATGGACCCTGACACAGACAGGGCCAAAAAACCCAGACTAAGCAACTCATTGACCTTGTGCACTTGTCAAAAGCTTTCTGCAAACAAGGACTCAGAGGGTGAAATTGCACAGAGACAGGGTCACATTTCTACACTGAGAGCTCTTCAAAAAGCCCAGACCCAAGAAATCCACTATTGTTTCTGCATCTGAAATGCAGTTGCTCTCTTGCCTTTGCAGACCTTCAGCTCCAGTTCTTCAAGCAGTTTTGGCACCACAGGCTTGCAAAAAGGTCTGCAAGGCCAGGCTAATTCCCATGCCCTTGTTTTTGGGACTCAGACATGAAAACATGGCACATGGCTACAGTCACGGTCTCTTGAGACTGCAGGAAGAGGCAAGAACTCTCCTGTGCTCCCTAGACACCAGCATGTCTGTATGCTAAGCTTTCCTGAGAAGGAAAGAGGAACAATACACTGTAAGTCCAGCTGATGACACGGCAGAGGCATTAACAGGACCCCCATGTGGCACCAGATGGACTGGGGAAAAGTGCCTGTTCTCTTCCAGCCTGACTACCCTCAATTTGACAGGCACAAATGCCAGATGACTGAGCTGCACAGCCTGCCTGCCTGTCCCTGTGCTATTAGCACAGCAAAAAAAAAAAAAAAATCTTCATTTGAATATGAATGAAAACAGATTTAAGTGTAATTAAGATGAAAGGCAAGAGTAAGGGCCCCCTTCTCAAGCTGTCTGCCAGGCAGAGAGTCTGTGTGGGAGCACCTGGGGCTGCCACGTCCCCTCAGTACCTCATTGGGGCTCAGCTCTGCAGCGTGTGGTGTCACCTCCAGCGGGTACCGTGTCTTTCCGATTGCCAGCACGTGGTTTTTCACCTTCAGGATCCTCTGGGCCACTGGTGGGAAAAGCCACCCGGACTCATGTTAGCCCAGCCAAGGGACAGCAGTGGGGCCAGGGACAGTGGGACAGGGGATGGTGGGGCTGGGGACAGCAGGACAGGGGCACTAGGACAGAGGATGGTGGGACAGGGAAGAAAGGGCAGAGGATAGTGGGAGAGAGAAGAGTGGGACTGGGGATGGTGGGACAGGGGTAAGTGGGACAGGGAAGAGTGGGACTGGGGATGGTGGGACAGGGAAGAGTGGGGCTGGGGATGGTGGGACAGGGAAGAGTGGGGCTGGGGATGGTGGGAAAGGGAAGAGTGGGACTGGGGATGGTGGGGCAGGCCAGGCCCCCAGCGTTACCTTCCGGCGCCTCGAAGGTGATGAGGGCGCAGGGCAGGGAGCCGGGCAGCACCCGCACGCTGGCGATGTCCCCGCCGCCGTTGCGGGAGCGCAGGAAGTGAATGGTCAGCTTGTCGGCCGCCCTGTCGGGAGGCAGCTCGGCGGGGAAGCCCTGCACCCGCACCGTGCGGCCCGCCATGCCCGCGGCGGCGGCTGCCGGGCCCCGCCGCACCAGGACCGGGCCCTCGTGCCCGCTCCCACCGCGGCTCTGCGGCCTCGGCTCCGCGCCGGGCCCGCCGCCACGAGGAAACGAAAGCGAAAACGGAGCTGCCCCGCCCGGGCCCGCGGGAGGCGCGGCCCGGCCCCTCACAGCTCGGCCCGGCCCCTCAGAGCTCGGCCCGGCCCAGTGCGGCCCCTCGGAGCTCGGTCCAGCCCCTCGGAGCTCGGCCCGGCCCGGCCCGGCCCCTCGGAGCTCGGCCCGGCCCCTCAGAGCTCGGCCCGGCCCGGTCCGGCCCCTCAGAGCTCGGCCCGGCCCCTCGGAGCTCGGCCCGGCCCGGCCCGGCCCCTCAGAGCTCGGCCCGGCCCCTCGGAGCTCGGCCCGGCCCGGCCCGGCCCCTCGGAGCTCGGTCCAGCCCCTCGGAGCTCGGCCCGGCTCGCCCCGGCCCCAATACAACAGACACTCTGGTGCTCCCAACAGACGCTTTAATTCCCCCCCTGCCCGCGGGTCAACGGACGCACGGAGCTCCTCAGCCCCGGCTGGCCAGGACTAGCCCGTAGCTGGCCAGGACTAGCCCGTGTCCTCCACGAACTCGGCCACCCCTGTCCGCCCCGCTGGGACGTAGGCAAGGGCATCCACCTCCCCGCCGCCGCGGCTGGCCTTCTGGAAGTGGATCTCCAGGGCGTCTCTCATGGACTCCTCACTCAGCACGTCGGGGATGCCCAGGAGCAGCACGGTCGTGGGGCAGCGGGAGGGCTGCAGCTGGGCAGAGCAGCGGGTGAGGTGCAGAGCAGCACAAGGAGAGGGGCTTCAGGAGCCCCCCAACCTGTGCTGCCTCAACCCAGGCTGGGAGGTGCTGCTTGCACAGGGTTCATGCCCTTACCTGCAGGTTAGAGATGTCTCCACTCATGCACGGTGATATTTTGATTTTGTATTTCCCTTTCCCAATGGGCATCTCAATATGTCCTCTTTCAATTAGCGGCTCTGCCACTGCATATGGAGAGGAAAGCCCTGAACTGCCCAGGTCCCAGGTAAGCTCCAGGGGAGGTTCTGTCCCTGGCATAGGCACCAAGGCTTGACGCAGCCAAGCTCACTGCTCAGCTCACCCACACAAGCACTCTGGAGGAGGCAGGACAGCCTGAGGCTCACTCTACCTTCCCTGTTTCTCAAACACAGCTTCATCTGCTCTCAGATTTCTCCCCAGAGCAGGTCAGGCTGCCCCACCCTTGCCAGCGACCCATGTTCAGCACACCCCCCGCACCTCCATCCTGTGTGAAGGTCAGCACCACCTGGAGAGAGTTCTCCAGGAACTCCCTGCTCTCCACCTCGCTGCCCCCATTCTTTGTCTTGCTGAAGAAGAGCTCCAGCTTGTCCAGCAGTGCTTCCTTGGAAATGTCCAGGTCGGGCAAGTCAGACACAAGGATGCTCCTCCTGCTGTGAGTCATCCTGATCTGTGGTGGCACCGGCCAGTCAGTGCCAGGGCAGGACTGGCCCCAGAGCTCGGGGGAGCAGTGCTGGGTGTGGCTGGTAGCAGTGCCCTGGTTAAGGCAGGCTCAGATGGGGTTCACAGCGTGCCCAGAGCAGCCCCATGGCATAGGGACCCACGGGCCCTACCTCCAGGGCAGATGGCAGCAGGATGTCCACTGGCACTGCCTGCACTCGCATTCTGCACTGGTCGAGCTCCTCCAGCTCCCCACAGCTCAGCTCCACCGTGTGCTCCCTCTTCTGTATGATCCTCTGGGCCACTGCGGGCAGAGAGAGCCCCAAGCACAGTGACTGCCCACTCCCAGCGTTTTCCAGGACAGGACACGGCACAGCAAAGGTGTCGGGCAGGTGGCACAGCCCCACACAAGGCAGGGAGGGGGGCAGTGCCAAACTGGCACAAGGAGGGAACACAGGACAGGTCCCAAAATTATCAAGAACACATGGCTGGAGAAGTACTCTTCTCACACTTACCCTCTGCCTCCTCAAAGGTGATGAGAGCTGAGCCCCCTGGCACAGGGTAGTAGATCAAGGGGGTGAGCATCAGCTTGCTCATGTCCTCCTTGTTTGCTGTGAGTCCCTTAAAGATCATCTTCTTTTCTGGCAAGGCAGACAGCATCTAGGTGCAAGTACAGACAGCACCTGAAGGAGACTGGACCCTGCACAGGACATGTCCCTGCCAATCCACAGACTAGGAGAAAACTCGTGGCTCAAAATAACAGCTGGAAAACCTCAACAATCTCTCCTAGCTGTGCCTGAAAGCCCAAAGCCATGAGCAGAGCTCCTGGCCCTGGCAGAGGACCTGTGCCAGTCATCACACAGTGCCCAGCTGCATTCACCTGCAGCTTCTCCAGCCAGGCTTGTGCCCTTGTCAGCAGACCCAAGTGCCCACACACACTCTGTTACCATCACAGGATCATTCCAAAAGGCCCTCTTCTTCAATTCTTCCAGTTTATTATTCAGAATCTCCTTCTCCTGCTTCAGTTTGTTGTTCTCCTCCTTTATTGCAGAAATCTGGCAGGAAGGAAAGAAGGAAATAGTGGGAAGTAGGGAACATCAGGACACAAGGGGCTGCAGTACACTTCTGTTCTGAGCACAGCACTGTTCTTGGGCACACAGCTCCAGCCCATTCTCCCTTTCTTGACTGTCTGCAGCTCTGCCCTGGCTCCTCTCCTTTGAGGACAGCCCTCCCCTCGCTGCAGCACTGTCTCACTTCTCGGCACAGGCCTTACATTTCCCATTAAATCTCCACTGGATCTCAAGCAAGTGATCTCAGAGCAGTGACCTGCATAATGCAGCCCCTGCCACTCTTCCAAACCTAAGACATCTACTGAACACTGACCTGCTGGGCTCTTTCTTCATCTCCATCTAAAGACAATTGTTGCTCAAAAATATTATTAAGTTCTTCTTTATTCATCTCTTGTGTCCTTTGCTCTGCAGCTTCCTTGGCCATTTGTAGCTTTGCATGGTCTTGCTCCAGAACACTGTAAAGCTCCTGTGAGAAGCACCATCAAACAGCAAGGCCCTAAGGACACTCATCACCCCCACCAGCCACCCAGCCCCCGCACAGGCTGTGCCTGTGGGAATGAGCCTGGACCCCAGAACAGGCTCTCCTCTCCATGGGATTACTCCTCTCTGCCGCCTCTGACTCCTAGAGAAGACACTCGAGCTCCTGGCTAGGGCTGACCGGGGGAGCCCGGCCAGCGGGGATGCGGCCGGCCAACGCCTCTCGGGCACAGCCGGACCCACCTTGTACCGCTCGATCTCCTGCCGGAGCTGCTCGGGGCTCTCCGAGCCGTCGTCCTGCAGCCGGACAAACTCCTAAAGACAAGGAGGGGTCTCAGCCGCGCTGGCCGCGCCCCGCCCGCCGCTCCCCGTGGCTCGGCTCTTCCTCACCTCCTCCGAATCCATCCCCGCGGCGCTGGCGGCAGCACGGCCCGGAGCCCCGGTCCCGCGGGGAGCCCCGTCCTGCCTAGCCCACCGGGACCGTGCTACCAGGAACGCCGGGCCCGCTCTCACCTTTCGCTTTCGTTTTCGGCAGCTCGCCCCGCCCCGGCCCCTCCGAGCGCAGCCCCGACCGCGGCCCGGGGGCGGTGGAAGGCCGGGCCCGCCCAGCCCCTCCGATACCTCCGTCGCCTCTCTTCCCCCATCCCCGCCCCGCCTAACTCGCCTTCCGTGAACACCCACCTGGCCAGCCAGGAACGGAACAGCTACTATAGAAATAAACTTGGCGAACGGACCAACTACTTAATAAAGAAATAAACTCTTGCGAACGGACCAACTACTTAATATAGAAACAAACTCGACCCAGCCCCTGCTCCCCGAGTGGGCAGCAGCCAGGACCACCCTTTGGGAAGCTGAAATCCAACACCCAAATCAACTATTTGCCCTCCCTCTCACCCTTTTTTTTTTTCACAGGGATCACCCCAGTTTTGGGAATAAGAGATTCCTGCTGTGTCAGGAACATCAAGCACACTGCAGCTGCAGAAGGGAAGCAGTCCTGGACACACCTGGAGCAGTCCCAGAGGTGACACCTGCACCCATGGCTCGGGCTGCACAAGGCTCCACAAATGTACTGACACTCACCTGGACTGCAATGGCTTTCTCAGCTCTTAGAGACACAGAGCAAGCATGACCACACCACAAAGGCCACTGCTTGTTTGTTAGATAACAACAACAAAAAAACCCCATGGTTTTTAATAAACATTTATTGATGGAACCTTGTTACACCCTTAGAATCGCAGCTTCTGGAAGAACCACTTATTCTTGCCAGTTTTGTACCTGAAAGAAACACACAGGTTACAGGATGTGTACCAGCAGGTAACAGCACCAAACCTGTACCTGAGCTGTCCCAGACAGACAGATTGTAGCACCTAACTCACCCAGAGGCAATACACCTGGTCTCTATGGCCTGGGCTACAACTAAATCCACTTTAAATATTGAAATTCCAAGGGAAGCAAGAGCCGTATTTCAAGATCCAGATTTCTCATGAAGGACACCTGCACTGTGGCAATTTCCACCCCAATGGACACAAGCACAGTACATGGACATCCCACTGGACACCTCGTGTGGCAGGGGGAGACGTCCTTGGAGAACAGCTCAGGGGCTGCCTGAGACTCTGTGTCCCACTGAGGCTACACAGCTCCTTCCTCTAAAGGAGCTTCTGAACAGAAAACCATAAAGAAAGAGCATACACCCAAGCACTCCCACACAAAGCATCAGCACTGCCCTGGCTCACCCAGCCCAGTGATAAAAGAAAGGATGAACTGGCAGCATCCTGTCAGATCATCCTGTGGCACGACGGTGCATACACACACACAGGTGAAAAGAACACCCTCAACAAACACACACACACAAAGAAGCCGGGGTAGAAGTGCCAACTTGGAAATGCACAGACTATAGCATAGTGACACCAACCTTTCATACTGGCTAAGAGCACCAACACCACTGAAGAGTCAAACTCCCAACTCACCTCTCCTCAAATTTCACCTTGGCTTCA